TAATTATAAATTTTTTTTTTTTTTGGGGGGGGGGGGGGGATCTACCTTCAATTACATATTTAATTTTCCATGGACCCTCCACGGACCCCCTGGACCTACCCCACGGACCCTAGGTTAAGACCCTAGACCCTGCTCCAGACCATTTTCAATCTCTGCAAGAGTCCCCCAAGGTTCGGTACTGCCCCCCTCCTTTTCCTCCTAAATGTAAATGATCTAACACTCAAGGGATTAAATTCTCCAAATTTTCATATGACACGGCAATCTGGATTCGAAGTGGCTTGAAAGCAAGGCCGGGCAAGATTCCATCCCTCGCCCAGGAGGCCCTGAACTGCGTTCATAAGTATTGTTCCAAATGGAGAATCCTTATGAACCCCATCAAGTCCACTGCCCTCTTACTCACTTTCAAAAAGCTACTCGCCCCCCCCCCCCCTTTTAAGCAGCAGAAAATGGTAATTCAAAACTCATCCCTTCCCACACCCAGCTCCAAACCTTGAAAGAGATTGAACACATGTCTTAAACTATGTGCACTATTCATGAATCCCTCCCTTTTAGCAGACAAATTACAAGCTTCTTTCTCACAAATTTTCTCCTCTAATGTTAAATTCCTCGGTCTCACCATTCTGAATAACTGCCACTGGACCAAGCAAATGCATACCTGAAAGGTGAAGCTAGTCGTAAACTTAACTGCCTAAAGATAATAAGTGGGACCAACAGATGCAATCCAGGGAGAGTACTGCACCTATATAGACCTTTTTCCGACCGGTACTCACCTATGGCCATGCAGCCTGGTCTAGCAGTTTTGACTCTGCTTTTGTAAGAGAACAGACAGTAGAAACCGGAGCCATCAGATATGCACATATGATAAGAATCCCAAGCTACGTCTCCGAGTCTCTGAGTACTGTTATGACCTGTCCAAAATAGAGCCACTTCGGCAGTATGATTCCAATCTAGCTCTCAAATACTTTGAAGTCACTAAGCGCCCGGATGACATCCGCCGCATCAAGGTCACTACCAAAGAGAAAGTACAGTTTAAGGAGCATAAAATAGCAAGAACCTATCCTGTGTTCAACTTATATCGCAGAACTGAGGATGGTCAGGGCTAACAAGCCTTCCCTCCCTTAGCAGGACCTTGAACTGCCTTATATCTACGTACATACCCTTTGTCTAAGAATGTCTACTTTCAACCCCTCCAGGACTGAGGCCAGAGCACATCTGCGAGATCGGGAGCCCCATTCAGAGCCCATCTGCGAGGTTTAGAGGATCAATCAGAGCCCATCTGCGAGGTTTAGAGGATCAATCAGAGCCCATCTGCGAGGTTTAGAGGATCAATCAGAGCCCATCTGCGCTGCCAAATCGATAATTTCTTGCGAAAGCTGAGGAATTCCAGTGAAAAACGACGATATTGAACTTTCGAGGAATCCCACGACCAGACTGCTGACGAATTCATGCTCATGCTAATTAAGATATCTTCCCCGTAATTGGAATGCACTTGATCTCGGCTGGCCACGCGGTGGAAGTGGTACCTGCTCGTTAGTCGAGTATTCTCGTGTCCGTGACTAACGAAACTAGGTAGTTTTCTTTTTACATACATTCAGAAGAATTCGACAGATAAAATTAGCTAAAATTAGATGTGCACTGAATTGAAACAGCTATTTCACATTTTCAGCTATTGCTATGGATTTGCTGTTGACTTGTTCGTGAATTTCAGTTCAAAATGGTCTTCTGTTACCCTCTGATCTGTTTTGTGCTGTTTTTATTGCATTTAATCGCGAGCGATAAGTGCGTTTTCTGAATGACTTATCATGCTGGATAAGACTGGCTATGTCTCTACTGCACAGTTACTTTTGAAACACGCTGTATTTCTAATCCCGCCTTGTTTTTTCCACCTTTTATAAGGTCTCATCATAGACCATGTCAATTTAATTTTAAATTAACTTGCGGCAGAATGCATGCTTCACAGAAGGTATCAACGGCGAATATATCGCCAGTGTTTTCCTTTCTGACCGTCCGCAACCAGAAAAGGTGAGGGAATGAGACCTATCCTTGACCTTGAATTGAATAGACGGGCTTGATGGTCACGGTTGTTAACGGGAAGTGGGTCCACGTATTTCGGGAAGTAAAACATTTGTAATCCATGGCGTTATTCCCGTAACCATGAAGTGTGGAGGGCATGCAGGAAGAAAAGTGGGCCGCTAAGAAATAAATAATAAGAAATGAACAATTATTAACATTTGCCATTGTGGATCTAACATGCATTGACCAGTGCCTCCAGCAAAATTCAGATTTTTGCAAATGTAACGCATAAGTAAAAATGTATAGTAACAATCTCCACGCAGTAACTGGACAGCACTACCTCCGCATTCGAAACCGAACGACCGACTGGAATCCAGACTCCATCCTGACGGAGATTCCGAATGGAAACGGCGGACTTAAAAAAAAAAAAAGGAAAGTAGAAATGCAGAGATGAAAGCCTGAGATGAGACAAGGGTCCCGCGAAGGGAAAAACCCATGGAGCCCTCGCAGTGGTTCTCGACCTTTGACCTGCGGAACCCTTTCGGAATAGAGAGGAACTAAGCGGATCTCCTTCGTTATCGCGTAAATATGTAAGCTTTTAAAATGAGAGAAAATACTGAGAGACAATATTTTTGAAGTTGGTTGACAAGTGACCTTAGCTAATTTTAATTTTTCGTTCCCCCCCCCCGTTATTTAATCGGTCCCGTGTATCTCACGTTGAGAAATGCTGAGCTAGAGGGGAAAGGATGAATCTAAACTTAATTCGAATTTAATAAACATCTAGATTTAATGTAAAATTAATCTAAATCAATGTTAAAAGCCATGCAAAATGCAGCCGAGTCGGCCTCTCGCCTGAGCTATAAAGCCGAATGAACCTAAATCAGCATTTACATTATATTTAACATAGACCAAAAAGCACCCTAAAAAGAGAAATGTCTGTTTTTCCCCCAAGCTAAAATATAGATTCATAAAAACTTCGTCTAAAAGGAGGGATATTTTTTACACTGCTCTCAAATGACGTCTTAAACGGGCTTCGAGAATATTTTTTTTTTTGTTCACGAGTTCCAAGTAGCATGCCTCAGCAAAAGCTTGACTCAGCACTTTTCCCCCCTCGTCTCAAATTTTTACGCAGCATTTTGGCAGGGTCAGAGAGTTTTTGCTCGCGACTTTTCCTTTTAAATTCATTTTAGATTAGATCTGGATCGGGGTTTCAGAGATCAGGTCACTGTCGCTTCTCACACTGCTTCCAGTACAAAAGTGTCACCGTTGAGTCGACGGTGATTCAACGGTGAGTCACCGGTGGAATTGGGTTCAACGGTAATTCAACGGTGATTTACCGTTGAACTGTTGAACTCATGTTGAACGGCTGCTGAAAACTGGCGATTCGACAATGAATCACTGTTGATTTGCTAGTTTCAATTTTAGCATTTTGAATTATTTTTGTAAGGATTTCAGGCATTGATCGAGTTCAGACTTAAGATTAAATCAATATAGACTAATATGAAATATTATGAAATATAAATGATATGAAATATGATATACTTCTCGTGGGATTTGAAGATATGGGACTGTCATTCAATGACATACATGAAATATTATTTCCCTTGAATAAAAAAAAGAGTTAAATGAAGCTTCATCGCATACGCGAGATGGGCAAATAAATATCTACCCACCAACCCAGCCTGCCACGGCCGCGCGAAAACTCGCCAGTTCAGGCGAGGAACACGGCTTCGTTCCCGTGTCACCGAGTCCATTCCCACCCGGATCTCTCTATATCCGCGATGCGTTCCCCCGCATCTCCCCGGGAGCCGAGCCGTGTGATTCCCCCCGACAAGTGCCTTCATCACGAATACGGCGAAAACGGATGCAGCGCAGCGCACTCAGCCACCCGCTCTTCCCCGCCACGACAGCGGAAACCTCGAAGAGAACCTGGAAGTGGGAACGTCGCCTCATACGTGTCCCAGCCTCCAGTTGTGATGCATCGACTTCTGCTCCTCGTCCTCCAGCTCCTCTGGCCAGGCTGCCTGGCCGGCAACAGTCTGACCGCTACAGGGGCCAACTGCCTCGTTGTCCCCCCGTCCGTGAAACGTGAGTCCGTTGCCTCGTTCCGTGCAAATGACGTGGGGAATCTCTAAACCGTATGTAAATATAGAGATTTTAGGAAACTCTTCCCCCCCCCCTTCCTTCCAGGGGAGGGGGGGGGGGGGGGGGGGGGGGGGTCCCCCCCCCCTTCCTTCCAGGGGGGGGGGGGGGGGGGGGGAGGAAAGCATCGTGGTTCACCGAAAATGAGAACATTTGAGCCTATCAATACAGTATTCTGAAAAGTATTCGTAACAAACTCGATATTCGATGCGTTCAACTATTCTTCCACAGAGCTCTGTCTTTATCGATTTGAAGCGCTTGTTCACCTTCAGCCGAGAGGAGGTCTCAGGTCAAAGTAGAGAAAGCACTCTCTCGTATCTCCGAGAAAAAAGAATCCTATCCTTTAAATATGAAGTGAACAACGTGAAGACGTCAGTCGCGTTTTTGCCAAGGAAAACCAAGAATGCCAGGCATAGAAATGAAAGGGATTTGAAACAGCAGGATGCCGAACAGATCCGGAACGGAGGAGCCGGAATCACGAGATCCTGAATTTCGGTTTTTGAGCTCCCCAACCCGAAAAGGGATGCTTTCCGCGCCCCTCTGGAGGCACGGAAGGCATCCCTTTTCTATTTGTGTCTCGAAGTGTCCGGCGGAGCTCAGTGCGGTTCGAACACTCAAAGCAACTGGTTCGAAACGGCCCACGCCCGCATCGCCGACGGCCAGTCGGCCACCATCCAAGATGCCCCCTTCATGGCCTTCGTCCAGGTCACCTTCGCCAAGAGAACAGCCTCGTGTGGCGGAGCCATCATCGACGGGAAACACATCCTCACCGCAGCGCATTGCTACTACGACTCCCAGGAGTGAGCATTTCACGATCGACGACGCGGAAATCGTCACTTTTTTTTGCATATTTCTTCCTCGTTTCAGCAATAACTCCCCGGCAACCTCGGTGACGGTCAGAGCTGGCTCGGCCAAACAGAGCCAAGCCACGGCGGTGGTGGATGTGGACAAATTCAACCCGCACCCCGGATACAAACCCGGTAACAAAAATCCCTCTCTCTTGCGTTCTCCCCATCTCGACCGCCATCTCACCCTCGAACGACACCAGGCGCCCGAACGAACGACGTCGCCGTGATCCTCTTGAAGTCGAGCCTGACCTTCACCCCGACCCTCCAGCCCATCTGCCTCCCTCGCCCGAGGAACAACAACTCCGACGTGATCCCTGTGAGAGCCTGCGGCCCCGTCGTGTACGGGTGGGGAAGCGCCAGCGGGGCCTCGGACGACCTCCAGAAGACGAATGCGACCATCAGCCGTCCTCCGGGTGCGTGCCGCGCCAACGGGGAGACTAATATCTTCTGTGCCTCTGCCGCTCGAGGTTCCGTCTGCTCCGTGAGTCTTTTTTTCCTTTCCGTGGCATCGAGATATTCGGTGACGTCTCGACTGCGAAAGGACGAGACGTGGAGCGAATTCATTCGTGCGTGACGTCGCTTAGGCGGTAAATCACGCGCGATCTCAAAGGCGGTGAATAAAAAGAGTTTATTTTTTTCGCAGGGAGACGCGGGCGGTCCCATCGTGGTCAGATATGGAGGCACCGCGTTCGCCATGGGAGTGGTCGGGGTCGTTCAGGGATGCACGGCCGCCGCGTTCCCCTTCGCCAGGGTCGGGACGTACGCCGGCTGGATCAAGAAAGTCGTCGGTGGCTGAGACGTCCGTCGATGGGACGAATGAGATCGGGATTCTCAATAAAAATCTCGTTTCTCGGAACACTGCTTTTTTTTTTTTTGGATTCGTTCGCGGACGGGAAGCGCACAGAGCCAAGCACGAGCCGGGAAAGGCTCTGACAGGTGGAAGCCGGCACAGATTGCGTTTCAGTTCTACATGCAGTAAGTAACCGAGTAACGGTTCACGTTGCACGAGACCACGAGAGACCGGAGGATACAGGCTTTGCTCGCGTCGGTATGCCCATAAAAAATATTTCCAAGCCCCTTCCCCCACACAAAGAATGCAGCACGATGAAGTGTCATCCTCGACGAATGACTTAAGTGAACGCATGAATAGCTGACTACAGTGGCGTATTTTGACTGAAAGGTCAGTGGGGGCAAGGCAACAGAGAGGGGACGCCAAACCCTACCCAAAAGATGTCAGGGGAGAAAATTATTACCTCGAAGAGGGCGCCAGACTCTGTCCTGGGGGCGAAAGGGGACAGCCCCCCCCCCCTCCCCTCCCCTCCCCCGTAAAATACTCCACTGGCTGACTACGAAGCAAAACGGGCATTAAGATCTTCCCGACCAAGTCTCAACCAATCGTCTTCAGGTGAGGCCTTGGTCTATCTTTCGACCACACTCTTAACGCGGAAGTAATGAACAATCGTCTTAGGCCTACCTCAAGCGAGTAACGTTAGGCCTACGATGCGCCTACCTCGAGTTTTCGAATCATTCCGGAGTGGACGTGTAACGTTATGCCAGTCGATGGACCCATCTGACGTTTCTAGAACCACCACGACCCGGCGTCTGCGAACAGACTGCCGCGCCGCCTCCGAGGAGCGTCGGAGGCCAGCAGGGTTGCCAATCGATCAGGGTTGTTCGTGATCGGGGGCTTCGGTGGGTCGGAGGCCTCGATTCGGCTCGGAAACGGGGAGATCGGGAAGGGAAAATTCAGGTTTCGGATTTCAACGCGGTTCCGGCACGACGGGAAATCCTCGGCGATTGAGCGTTTTCTCTGGAATGAGGGCGATCTCACACGCGAGGCTTTCTCTCGTTCGAGATTTACGCGCGTTTCGAAATGATATACAGGAAGTTCTCGATTTACGACGTTATATCGGAACGACGCAACGTATATGAAAATTCGTTCCCTAATGTGTTAGCGACGTTATATCGGCGTCAATCGAGGACTTCCCGCATCTAGCCGTTGTTGGTTTCGTGCGATGAGAGGGAAGCTAATACACTTCATCTGATTTGCTACGCTCTGACGCGTCAATTGGGAAGAAGTAACGTCAGAAATACTCGGATGAAAGTACTCTCAGTACTTCTTGGAAGTACTCTCAGTACTTCCAAGAAACTTTTTTTTTTGTTCAAAATTTCCCTCGGGTGCGTTCCATGAAAATGAGCTCAGGAAATCGAGAAAATCTGCGACGGACGAGAGGAACCGGGAGACCCAAAAGTTTAGAATGTCGTCGTCTGCTTGAAAGCAAATTTCTGCAAAGCATCGGCGATTACAGGATGTTCGCGACATCTTGCAGTTCATTCGATCGGAATTGCTACGAGATACGTCGCTTCGCGTCCCAATGAGCACGTTCCACATCTTCGGTTTCTGGATTAATAACGATAAGAGAAGTCTGTCCTGGGCCGTGTCTTAGGGCAAACAGCGCTGGGATGGATACCGTGCACCAATTTCTGTTTGGTCAGATTTTCGGGTTAAAATGAGGGAAGGAAAGAGGGAAGAACACCTGGTCGTTGAGAATTCACATCTCGATTCCTCTCCTAGAGACATCTAGTGGGAGTGACGGGTACTACAAGGAACCGCTGGCTCTCTCCTTTTCCTCCACTTTGGGGCTTCGTGGCTTTCGTTCCATTCATGGGGAATATGGATCTGAATCATAGACGCTCAACGAGTCTCTTTGGGCGGCAGTTATAAAGGAGTGGTAAAACTATTGTGTATTTACTTTACTTTTTTTGAGTTTTCCTGGAGGGCATTAGGTTAGGCGATTCTTCAACTAAGATAACGAGGGGTTTGAAGAGTCTCTCCAACGTCGTTACCTCAGTCCGACATGACATACATTTGATTTGAGAAGTACTACTTAGAAAGAACAACCATGATTGTGGTCTCTTTTCCTATTTAAGGACTACCTTGTTAGATAGCTATGGAAAGGAAGCTATGGAACAATGACATCGTGCAAATATATGTCTTTATTCACAAGTGCACTGCAAAAATATATCATATAAAAACATATTTGGCAGAATGTTTTGTAGCAAGTTCCAATTGCAGAAAAATGAAAATCTGCAAAGGAAAAACCCTGAGAATAAGATATCACATCTGAAAAACCACAGACAAGGTTTCCTTACAAGGCATAAACATATTGCACAAGATTGCATGATTGCACAAAAAAGGGAAGCTTAAAACTTACTTTGAAATGCAAATATCCATATTATGTAAAGAGGAATAGTCAAAAGGCAAATTTTCCTTGAGGTTTGCATGAAAACTTTGCTGGGGATTTAAAGAATTATTTAAGAAAGTTTGATGATGAATGGAGATCTTCAAGGGTACATTATCACATCCTCACGAGGAGGAAAAGGAAGGGCAAGACTTGTTTCTCAAAGAACCTTCTGCTGAATCCACATAATGTATGAATTGTTCCACCCTTGCATGATGGGATGCACAAAAGGAAGGGCAAAAGCTCCTTTTACTGCTCTGTTTTTTCCAACACACGGATCCCTTCCTTCTGGAGTCGACTCAGCATGGGTCTATAGATGTCGGCCGAGAATGGGAGCACCATCCCCTTCCCTTTGATCTCTCCTGCCGCAAAGAAATATGGCCTCATTGGGACAGGAGCAACACTACAATACCAGACATCATCAAGGGGATGGACACCACACCATTGAGCACCATCTTGGTCGCGATGGCTGTGGGATATCCAACCGTCTTGGCCATGGCAGAATAGCCTTTATCTTGGGCATCTCCATATACAACAAGGTTGATTCCCCTTTTCTCCACCTGTTGGTCTCCCCAGCATATGGTGATGTTATTTCTAAGAATCACCACATCTTGCTCATGCTCCTCTACATGATCAGAATAAAAAAAACATTCTCAAGGAGTTGAATCTTTGTGAGCAAACAGTTCAAAAGGTTTTTTAAAATGTCACAAGTAGGCTATAGGATATTTCTGAATGACATGAAATGCAAGAAACTTTAAAACATTGCTGACCATATTGGATTGCTGCTACAGGTACTGAATACCACAGTCATCTGTGAGTCAGGATGCCACAAAACTCTTCATGGAGAGGCTGTATTTTGATTTTTATTGCTCTTTGGGGCAGAGCTGCTTTAGCCAAGTAACAAACCAAATAACCAAAAAACAAAAACATGTACCTAGGCCAAACAAAAATTATCATTCTCCTCGATAAAATGATTGCACAAGTATAGGACTTGTTGGCTAATTAGGTTGGTCAGCTCTTTACCCAGCTGGTGCCTTCTGGTGCTGGGTGTGGGAAGGGATGAGTTTTGAATTACCATTTTCTGCTGCTTAAAAGGGGGAATGAAGCCCATCAGAAAATGTTTTTATTTTATACTTGGAAAGACTTTTAAAACTATTGCTGGTTTGATAAGCTTCAGTTTCATTATAACCTCTTCAGTGACAAACCCAATAAAAGGCTATCTCTTTCCAGTCGAAGTCAAATGCTTTGGATCAAGCACTGCTAAACTGATGAAAACTGTACCAACAGATAAAACAATATTTGAGGAATGGGGAATCAGCAATTTTCATGTCCAAAATACTTCAATTTCAGATATTGCTGAAGGAATTTTTGTTTAACCTTTACATGCCAAATTTTTCCAAATTTGAACAGAGCATGAAAGGGGAAAAATGCTAATTTTGCCATATTTTGAACAGCATGGAATCTCCCCTATTATAGGTGCAGAGAAGAAGATTCCATGCATTTCGAACATGGCAAAATAAGAATTTTTCTGCTGACATGTTCTGTTTGAATTTGGAAATTTTCAACATGTAAAGGTTAACCAGTATTGAATGGTCCCAAAGACATGGAAAAAACCCCTTGACACCAACCAATGGACTTCATTTGGTGATAATCCCCTTCCCAAAGCAAACAAAGCTGTTGACACAAAAGTTGTCCCTTCCTTGGTAAGTACTAGGGTCTACTAACTGATGCAGTGCACTGACCACTGCTTTTAGTCCCCTTAGCCATTCTTGAAAAAATTAGCATAATGAAACTAAAACTTATCATTAGACCTCTACAGGGTCAACTAATTAGCAGCCATAAGTTCATGTGAACAGTGAATACAGGAGAATGGCAAAACTTAAGGAGTGTTCCTTATAGTATTTGAATGGTTTAAATGTCTAAGAATATGGGCCTGAAGATTTTGCTTCTCCAAACCTTGAAAGAGATTGAACACATGTCTTAAACTATGTGCACTATTCATGAATCCCTCCCTTTTAGCAGACAAATTACAAGCTTCTTTCTCACAAATTTTCTCCTCTAATAGAAACATCCAGCTTTTGCCACACTGACCCAATGCAAGGAAGTTGGTAAGATAGTGGCTGAGGCAGTCAACAGGAGTGGAAAGTCGAAGGACTGGATCCTCGGAGAGAAGACCCAACTTCTCAATCACTCTCACACAATGCTCTGAACCAACCCGATCCAGGACTTTTGACCGCAGATTCTCATAGAACAGACTGGAGTCTGGGACCTCAAGCAGGTTGCAAATGAGTTGCCTCTGCAAGTGAAAAATGAAAGCTAAGGGATTGCTTCATCACTTAAAAGTAATTGATGACAAAAGAAAGGAGTAGGTCCCTTACAAGAAAGGAACATGACAGAATCAACTGCATGAATGAAGGACTAACCCATGAGATCTCAGGTCCTTTGGGATGAAGAGCATGATGAGAATGGGTATCAATGAGACCTATGGCCAAGAGGCTACGGATGGCTTCTGAAAAGCCTTGGTAGCGAAGGGTACCCCTCAATACAGTCTTGGCCTCTGGAATCCCATAGAATTCCTTATAGATGGTACTGTCCCGGTTTGGGTAGCCCTCAAGGGCAAAGCCAGGTAGGAAGTCAACTTTCTTTGCATGACTCATCAATGCACCCCCACTTGGAATCTCAACTGTCTATTATTAAAATACAGAAAAATACAACAGTTCCTTCATGGAGGAGGCCAGATGATTTTGCTCAACATAGGAATACCTTGATCTTCCTACATCTTCCTTCCCCAGATTAGAAATTTTAAAAAGGGAGGGGAGAGAGAGAAAATACCAGACTGATATCTAGACCTCATAATAGGCAAATTTACTGCTGTTTGGTTATGAAACTCCTGTTAGATTTAATGAAAGATCACTTCATCATTAAATTAAAGAACTCAAATCTGAAGAAAATCCACATGGAGTATATTTTACAATGCAAGAAATGAGAGAAAAATAGGATTTCATAGTACCAGAATTACCAAAGAAACAATACAGTGAATGAAGCTGAGGTAAAATCGACCTTTCCATCTAGGAGATACTTGGCAGGAGAAAGAGCATTGAGGAGGACCCTTTTCGGACTCCATGAGAACTTGTATCGCAGGGGGGAATCGGAGAACTCAGGTGCAGGAAGCCCACCACAGTAGGACACATAAGATTCCACCTTCCCTCCTTTGTCATGGACTTCATCAATGCACTCCATGGCAAGTAGGTGGTCAATCCCAGGGTCCAACCCCACCTCATTGACCACTGTAATCCCTGCATCCACAGCTCTGTTGACAGTATGTATGAAACACTGTTCAGACAAGTAGTAACCTTGTTTGAGGGTAGACTCATATGTAAGGCATCATGCATCCATCTACATGTGAATGATGAAGAAAAGTGAGGCAATGCTCTCTGAAATTCCATTGAAAGATATTTTGAGAAAGGAGACCCTACAATATTTGGTCTCATTTCCCATATAATTCTGTCTATATTAACCCTTTCATGCATAGTGTCCACTATAGTGGACGGCAAAATTTTTGGCGATGATGGTTTTTTAGCCACGGTATGCATACCCCGAAACCTTTGCTATATGCAGTCAACTCAAAGGCCCATAATCTCTTAAGTGTTGCTTTCTAGCACTGAAACAAACAGCTACAAAGACAGAGAACCCCTTTAAATGTTAGACCAAAAAAGGCAAATTTTTATTTTGATCAAAAAAGTCATACGTGAAAGGGTTAACTTAGCTTTTCATGCTTTATATTTCCTTTTTTAATGAAAAATAAAATCATTTATGCAATATCTTGGGCTGAAGTTGGATTTTCTCCTCATGGTGAGAGAAATTCCAGAACCTAAATACAAGACAATTAAGTCATTCATTTTTGTGCCAATTATGTCATACTTCATGATCACTTTTGAAAAATGATAAAAATCTACCCTCAAGCCACTATTTTTCTTCCAGGTATTGGCTTTTGCTTTCTCTTAAAATTTGGAGTTAGAAATCTGATATTGGTGTTTGGACCAGCAAAATCACCCAAGAGCAAGCAGAGCCAGGCACACAGGGTAAGTGAAATGGTCCAAATTGGCTTATTCTCTGATGGCATAAAACCACAGTGTCTGTCTCTCTTGATACCATGGGGAACAGCCATCAGGTGCAAAAAGCAAAGCACAATGTCAATGCTTATATGATAAGAATGCACTCTCACTGGTCATGAAGGGCCTGCATCTCTGGAGTGCAATAGGAGGCAGTGATGAGGTTCTTCTTGAATTCAATGCATGCTTTAGCCACGGATGAGTGAAGGGAATAGGGCAAGAGGCTGACAACGATATTAGCACTTTGCACTACTGAGCTGAGTAAATCTGGTCTCTCCTGCACATCGAGAAGAATTGGCTCCACTTTGTCAAATCGGGAGGCCAGCATGTCAACCTCATCCTTCAGGGCACTAGCTGTGGGGGAAAGATAATGGGTGTATATAGAAAGCATCTGATAAATGAGTAATTTTCTACCAGGCTTGTTTCACTCCATATAAAGGAAAGTTTAGAATTATCCTTGCACAGTGAAAGTCCCTATGGTCAAATAATTTCTCTTCACTCAGTCTGATTCAACCCCTTTCAGGAGTAGGATATATGAGAGGAGGATGATGAGCTAAATAGAGTATGGAGTAACATGCAGTTTGCATCTTTTTCACTGGAGACTACATAGAGACTTCTGAGTGTTGCTGTAATGACTACTAGTGCATTGATATAATTTATATCACCTGTTGAGAATACTGCACCTGCAAAAAAATTGCCTGGCAATATTACATTTCCCAAAGGATCCAGGCAAAGGTGTTTGAACACTTTAGAAAGGAAGGGCAAACTGACAACCTGCAGGGAGTGTCCCTTGTGCACCTCAGAATTTGATCTACAATGTAGTCAGAGATAAATTCTTCCTAACTCAAAAAAAGAGAGTGGCTGAAGGGATTCTTAGACCCTCCCCCCAACTTCCTATGCCCTTGGATTCAAACACTTATGAGTCAGTTTCAATTTTAATACCAGCATATTGCCATGCTAACATTTGATATATTGTTACTCATTGATGTTCAATTTTGTTCATAATATTGGTACACTTCTAGCAATGAATGACACATTTTCCCAATTACAGTTGCCTTACCTGCAATGCATTTAATGGAAGGATCCCTTGTGAGATACTCTACAGCTGGAATACTCACATGTCCTGCTCCAAGGAGCAACACTGTGCGCTGTGTTCCATTCACAGTTGACTTCTGCCGGGATCTGAAGGAAATTTCAAAATAAAGTATGGTTCAAAGAGGTGGTACAATACATTGACTGCCACCATTAACATAGTAAAAGTTTAAAAGGTATTAAAATGATCTTTGAACAGTTAAATTGTTAAAACACTTCTGAATAATTTAATGAAGCACCAAGTAAGCCTACTTCTCTTAATTTGTTCAATTGTGATACAGACCAGAATTATTTGTTGCCATGAATTTGTTTGGAGAAAAACTACAATCATGGGTATCAATATGAAAAACTAGAATATGAAGGGTCAGAAATAAGGCAACCAGTAAGAAAAAGCTTTGCATTTTGCATGATTAATCTGTCAGGTAAGAAATATATGACAATAAGTTTCATGTAGCAACATGTAATTACTGCAGATAAATGTAGACCAAGTACACAGAAATAAACTTTCCTCATAAGTCATTCCATTTAGAGCTTTTGAGTTTTACTTGGGTGCCAATCAATGAAGGAAAGCACATCCATAAAATGATTAAGCAAATGTGCTTCAGACACATTTCAAACACATTATATCAACAGCACATGCAAAACTGAGTAAGAGTCTTGTCATAAATTACTTAAAATATCCCATTCAAGTTATCTAACAATTCAGCCCTTTACATATGACATGAAAAAAAATTCCCCAGTGCATACAATAAGCATCAACCTGCCAGATCAGCAAGCTCTTGGCTTCCTTAATAGACCTATTCCCTCTCATATTGTTTGAGTAAAATTACTATTAACATGTCACAATCCACTAATTGCCAAAGTTCGGAATTGCCAGGAATAAACCTTAAAATAGCCTGCCATCAGTAAATTTTAAAAAAGTTAGCAATTGAAAAAAATATAGACTCAATAAATAAAAAAAAGCAGAGGCATGAAAATGTCATTCAATGAACATTTTTTCCCCCAGTAATCTCTGGGACAAGAGCACATATGCTGAAGTAAACTGAAATGAATAAATTAAAAGGAGCAATATTCAATGATAGAATGCAAACACCTATTACCTATTGTTTGCACGGAGCCCAGATATGTACTCATAGTCAGGTGTTAACCTCCCATTGCTTGCAACCACAGCCTGAAATGAAAATAAATCAACCAAACAGACATGATATGACAATATTTTCTATCAGGAAGCATGAACTCTCACTTTGGACACAACTGGTGAGAACTGGCTCTGCTCAAAGGGCTGAGAGGCATCTGACTGAAGGATGTCTCCAATGTGAGGAAGGAGAAGACTTCCAATGCAGTCAGTTGCTTCCCGAGGCAGCTGGGTTGGCATATTGCCAATTGAGCACACCAGGACACCCGGCCCTTTGAAGCTAAGAATACAATCTCAGCTATCAGTGAGTGAACCATTCACCATCAAAAGTGATGCAACTTGATATGAATTAAGAGGAACTCAACTTGAGCAGCTTGAGAGCATAACTGAACAACTTCAGATGATCTTATGTATATCAGGAATACTCATGATGAATAAGCAAACATTTTTTCATGACTGCTAATTGTTATTATCTCAATGGCCCATTCCTTCCACACTGTATAGGATACTCCCAAAAGCCACAAAACTGAACATCAGTTTACCAGTTTTCACAAGAGAGATAGATTGAATAAAATTTTGTTAAATTCAAGTGTATGTGATAAAAGATTCAAACACAGTTTGGGACCACTTACAACACAATATTTGGTCTTCAGGTTGACAGAAAATGAGTCTGCATGAAGCAGAAATATAAGATTTTGTGCATACTCTTAGAGGGTATATGAAGTTGACAACACAAAACCCAGGTAAAAATTAAGCAAAATAAGAAAATCTTTGCTTAGGTGAAAACCAAAAGAAGATATTCAGCATAATTCCAGCAGAAGTTGACTATAATACATAAAATACATACCAGTACTGGTGTCAGATGCACAATTTTCAGCAAATACCTTTTCTTCACTGTCCATCTTAAATTTTACACTTTGTGCTCGACAAAAACCAGAAATTTAATTAGAAAAATTATGACAGTTTAAGCTATGCACAAAATAATTTAAGCATCATTTTTTTTTATAGCTGACAGAAGTAGGCCAGGCCCATTTAAGTAACAAGGAGGAAGGAAATCAAATGGTCTCAAGGCTGCTCCCTTTCTTTTTAAACACATTTGGCAGATATTTTTAAGTTGTAGTTGACTTCATGAAGTACTATTCATGAAAATGTAACAGTTCAATAATACCGACTTCAATATCATTTTGAGTGAATTATTCTCTAGGATAATGTAAATTTGCATGAAACAGGACATCTGCATGGCCACATTTCTGTATCCATTCAAAAGAGGATCCTCAAACAGCACTTTTGGAGCAAAATCATGGAACTATATATCAATATATTTCTTTATAATAAAAAAATTTTTCTCACCCACTATTTCCAGTGACCCATTTTCTATGCAATCACCCTATTCATACTCAGAAACCCAAAATTTTGATTATTCTAATCAACATAATGTACAGACTTCCTATCCATACTTGGAAACTTATTCTCATCTTGATTATAATGAGCAGAACACACAAGCAGTCAAATATAGCATTTCACCACCAGTGAATTGTCTTACAAGTCAACTACATTCCAACCTAGGTTGCAAGGTTCCAGAAGATTCAGTGAGCTAGTCCAGCCTACTTCGAACACTTTGAAAAGCTAATGTACATTTGCAGATATAATCTATAAAATGATGAGTTGCTGTACATTTGCCATGACAACCTGTAATGAGTGCAATCTACCTTTCAGTGTTTGTATGATGATCAGCATCATAGAGGCAAAAGGGTGAATCAATTGTGGTGCACACATCTGAGAATTCAATTGAACCCAAGGGGGCAGGCGAGACATCACATATGGCAAGGAGTCTATGTGGGAGGTGAGGAGAGCCAGGGGAGCTTGGGAGCCATGGTGTGTAGGCTGGTCTTAAAAGGCTCTTTGCATCAGGAATTGACAGAAGACGTGGGGAGTTTGGTGTCCAGTAAATCCCATTCACTATCACTGAAGCATATGGGGCAATCTGGAATGACATTTCAGGAATGAGGATGACATCAAAAAGGTCCCAGTACTTACTAACTCAATAAAGTGAGTAGAATTTCAAAGTCTGACCTCACCTTCTTGCTGAATGAAGAATAGTAGTTCTCTGGATGAGCTTCAAAATCATGAAGATCAAATGGTCCTCCATCTTTCCTTGCATAATGGTCTGGATGATTTACTTCACAGCCATATACCTTGTTCATAGCTGTAGCAATCCATTCATATCTATGATCCGTGATCTTTAGAGTAAAATGAGTTAATGAAGAAGACTCACCACCATGTTCAGCCACTTTTTTCAGCATCTGAGGAGGAACATATTCAAAAGGAAGCTCTCGGAATATCTCCTGAGCGCCTTGTGACGCGTCCCCTGAGCCAGTGAATACAATAGTCAATGCTCCAAGTGACTTTGGAAGATTTCCAAGGGAAATTTCGTACCCAGCATCTCGTAATGCTGCCTTAGCCATTTCAGTGTTCCTGTAGTTATGGGCAGGACCAACATGCTAGATGCAAAGACAAAATATCATATAAGTCAGTAAATTTTATTGGCAGACACATGTTTTTGCTAATCAGTCTCTTTCTCAACCATAAAAGGCGTGTGATGCCCAAGGGCCAAGAGACGTAATCCCAGGCCATGGAGTATATTGATCATTCCTGCCACTCCAGCATATTTGCCAAATGTAACCACATGCTCCCCCCTTTCATCCACCATTTTCTCAAAGTCGACAAGGCGGATGTTCTGCAAATAAACACTGATGCAGATGTAGGGACATGATCTATGAAGACAAGGCAACAATGAAATTTCTAACCTTCTTCAGTATGGCATCAAGAAGAGGCATATTTTCAGCCTGAGCCTTGCTTGTGCGTGAGAAGAAGCAGTAGGTTCTATGTGGTATCAGGGCATCAATGGGAACTTGTGTCACTCCAACAATGACTGGAGCTTCTGAGATGTCTTCCCTTACAATGGCTCCAGCAGCTACATAGTCCTATGGAAAATACAATCAATGAATATTATTATGCCTTCCTTGAGCTGCCGAGATCATCTAAGGCACTGCAGTGCCTTCTTTAATTCTTGGATTTTCTTTACCTGCATGGGGTATGCCCGTCGGTTGGATGGCTGCAAAAGGACTTTGGCTCCTGCTCGGACAAGTTTCCACACATGATGGGGGGAAAGGGGAGCTCGTCTCTCCCACACACTCTGGTCCTCTCGTCGGATAGCCAACACTCTCCCGTTCAGCCCTCCCTAAAGTTATCATGGATGCTGAATTTTGCAAATTTGGAAATGTCTTTCACATGTATATGGTACTGCAACTAAAAGGGGTTCTTGCTCATACCTTGCCATAGTGAGACATGAAGGCTTTTAAAACAAGTGCTGGATGCGTATGCCATAGCTTCCTCCATATCATAGAGTTTCTCCAATGATTAATTCCCATTACATATCACAAATACCTGAAAATGGTATGAGAAAATATTATGTATATCAAAACAGCCTCAGTAATGATTGGTATATTATTAAATTTATCTTTAAGGCTCAACTTATACTAGTTACATGAGTGAACAACACATTAGTGTTTCCAGTAAAACCTGGTAACTGCTCACTTTTCCATGCAAAAAAGGTGAAACCAAAAATGCATAATTGATTCAGATGGCATTGGGAAATAATTCAAGCCATACCTAACACCCTTCTCTTGCCATACAGGCACTTCCAAATGATTATACCAATTGGGATGAGGAAGACCATATAAAAAAGGCTGTGATTAAGCCTAAGGCTTACTTATAAGTCAAAATTGATCCATCCAAATTAATGGTGAATGCTGGCAACTTATTCACCAATCATTCAATTGAATTTCAGATGAGTGCACATTGCATGTAATAGCATTCTAAGCCTGTGTCCTAAATGGATTTCAATACAAACTTTATGCCATCCTGCTCCTTGCAGAGCAGAATGTCAAACTCAATCTTCTAAGACCTAAGAAGATAAGTCACTGGCAAATGGAACAATGCAAATTTCCTGTCAGAGGCCATATAGGTTGGAGTGACACTTGAATAACTTACAACTCAAAAAAGTGACATGCAATATAGAAATTTGGCATTGAGTGCACAGCACATGCTGTGTCTATTCTCAAACCAAAGATGTTGTGTAGTACATTCTGAGTCTCACAGTTATGCCAAGGTAAATATTCCAAGGATGGTAATTCATGTCTCAGCATTCCCGTGAAGCAGAGCCCATGAACACGCATGGAGTTGTAGATTTTGAGCTGACTTGACCAAATTAGCTCTCTATGGAAATCAATGAATTGCTATGTTTGAATCATCTTCCCAAACCATTCAGGCATTGTACACCTTATGCACACCCAACAGTCGCCCGTCTCCTTCCTTAACAGATTTGACATATGCTGGATGTAATATCAGATCTACCCTGAGAGGGGGTATCGAGAACAATCTGCCCCAGGCATTGCATATTAAGGGGCCCCAAGGAGCCTCTAGTTTAGTTTTGCCCCTGGTCTCTGGAAACCTCTGGGCAGGCCTGTGTAACATAACCAAATTGTACTAATATACAGATGGACCCTACTCACCTTGCTGGTGTGGCTCACCCCTAAATGAGGATGACACACAAAACAGGGAAATTTCTATTTCCTATCTTCCCTTTACATATATATGCTTTGTGAACTTCATGTATTACTGCGAAGTATTTCATAACACCTTCAGACATGAAATGACACCAGGAAGTTGCACTATGGCAAGACAGGTGAACCCTGAACAGGATGTGGTAACCAATTATAAACAATTCATTGGAAGAGGGGAAGTAGACTTGATCCGAGAGATTTTCACTTCCAGTGTGTGACTTATGATGCTATCGATCTATGAATAGGTTAGGTTGGCTAGGTTGGGAAACATTTACTTGGATTTGGAGGACTAACCATTGGGAAGCTAGAACAGATACACTATATTGATATTGTCAAAATGAGAAAAGGAGGACGTGAGAAGTTGTCTATTCTGTCAAATGACAGCTGCCTGAGATGTGCACAAAGCACTGTACGAAAAACGCGCTAACGTTAGGTGTGTCCGTTGTGAACACAAAACGAATACCGCTTTCTCTTAGGCCTTCAGACAAGCGACTCGGAATCGACTACATTATCACCTGAGTCGGATTCTTTCACTTGACTTCGACACTCATGCATGAGAAACGTTGCGCGCTTGAGTGTCCGAATCACGTGAAAAACGCTACCACGACGGTCCAACAACCACGTTGTTGATCTACAATAGGCCGAGCCCAACGCCCACTTTACTAGGTCCAACATCTGACGGCCCGAAACTTGAGTGTTCTCTGCAATTCAAATTTGCCGTGCTCCTTGCTACATAGCGAATCGTAAAAGGAAAATATGCAAAAGGCCTAAAGAAGAAGGAAAGCAAGCACTTCGCTCGTACGTCCTACCCGCCTCCATGATTACTCGTCGATAGCCTACCAGAGTTGCCACTTCCTCCGGATTTTTTGCCCATTGATTTTGCATGGCTTATGAAATACGCTGAGTTACTGCTGATTTGAATCCTTGAATTGAGCCACAAATAATGAAATTGCCTCTCCTAAAACGTAATTTTATTCCTTCAATTATGCTTGGCTTGTCGCATAAGTTATGCTGAGGTTAGCAACCCTGTAGTGGAAATGACGTCATTTTCCCGTTGGACTCGGTAGTCATTTGCACGAAGACGGTGACTCGTACTTCATGGTGCTGGTCGTCGCGACACCTCGAGCGTCGGTCTGGTGCTCATATGCTGCATGTTGTGACTAACAGTGGCGTAGCGTAGCGTGTAGCGTGGGGGGGCTTCAGCCCCCCCACGCTACGCCACTGTTACGCCCCCCCCACGAAAACATCCACTTCCCTTCCAGTCCTGGCGGTTGACGGATCCATAGGAGACAATGGAGGAGAGCGGCTGCTCCCAGCCACGTAGACAGGGTTGCTAGACATAAGCGTGAAACTCCGTTTCTGGCATCCTACACTTAATACTATCTTCCCATCTCCACGCGACGCGAACATGCAGACCATTGAGAACATGTCTAGTTGTCCAAGCCTTTTCATATAGGCCTATGCCGAACCAATGACAGACATGACTTATTTTAAGGTTAGAATGCGGTGAATATACAGGGTGATTCAAAATAATGTATACTCACTTTGAATCACTCTGTACCATCGATGGTAAATGTCATAACAATTAGTGATGGTGTATTTGCTAGCATACAACATTACTTAAAATTTGTATTATTAAAAGTTACATAAAATATCCTCAACATGGCGGATGTACTGCTGAATTTCGAACGAAGGAAGAACATTATTAATTAAAGTGGTGCTACAAGTATGAGAATGTAAAGGAAGTACAGCGTGTCTTGATGCGAGAGTATGGAACAGCAGCTGCCACATGTGACACTACTCGTCATATACATGATACATTTGAAGAACATGGAACTTTCCAAAATGCAATTAAAATCTAGTGCGGAAGAAAACGAACAGCGTGAAGTTTTCTATCAGCATTCTAAATAAAAAAAATTTTACTTTGACAGATGACTGTTGTATGTCGTTTTCACATATTCACTTGTGTACATAAAGTTTTGTTTATTCATTACAATAAGTATTGAAGATAGTTTCAAAACGTGTATATATAATTTTGAATCACCCTGTATATAATAATTCCAGCGGTACAGGGGCTAGCGGAATGTCAGATCTGTACCTGGGCTGGTACTCTCTAGTTGAATCTGCTTTTAGTGGAACTTAGACCCTCTCGACCCTTCGAAATGGGAGCGGCGCGAATCGCTACTGAGTTTAATTCTCTTCTCTTACTTACGTCCAGGATCCCAAATCAGTTGGCATAATGCTAACTCCAGTCGCCGTGGAAACGGAAAATAATCCGAGGCAGATACCAATCTCCCTGTGTAAGGGGAGGCAAGGTCGACGCGCCCTGCCCGAGGGCGTCGCAGGACGGGTATGAAGGCGAGGGAACTCCTCAAGGCCATCATCCACTCTTCTGCCGTCGTCTGCCTTTTCTTTGGGCCTCCCACGTCCTGTGAGGAGTCTATCGCTCTGTTTGGAATTTTTTTCTGAGGAGGGAGACAAATGTTTATGCTGCCTGCGCTTTTCCCCGTTGATATCAAAGCCGTTCAAAGTGAGTCAATTTCAATGGAAATTTCACATTGAACCTTGACCTTGAATCGACATGCTAGGTACGCATTTGAGAGATAGTGAAGTAACATCGTTTACTTGAGCACCGCCACAAAGAGAAATGCGGCTGGATTTGATGGCGCCATCTCTGGAGAACTTATTTTGAAAAGTGAGACAAACTGGGACCATAAAAAAAAGAGCAAGGGTGTCAAACTTAAATTGGTCGGCGGGTCGCAATCTTTAACCTGCCTGGTGGCCGCACCCATAACTTTTCACCTGTTTTGCTGTGAGCTTCACAGCAAAACACACACGATACACTCATGCATCACATGCATTAGAATCCCAGCATTAACACTGCGAGTTTACCAAGCATCCCCATCCCAACCCAACCCAGATCATCGCACCCCGATCCAAATCCCTCAAAGGAGCACGAGACCACCGCAATCTCAGCGCGGAAATGATCCCCACCCCATCGAGTTCTACCATATTCCCTCTGCAATTACCAGGAATCGCTCTGGTCTGTTTATACAAAGGCCACATCTCGTTACGACGAACTTCCAGGGGATGTCCAGAGCATTCCGCTGTACCGAAGTTTCCTCACGTCAAAAACTGCTCGAAATGAAGTTCACAAAAATTCTTCAAGTTAGCCTTCCAACGTACAGACCACAGTAGTAATTTTCCACTTTACTTTGGAGAAAATCTCTCGTTTCGATAAGCACTTGTCATTAAATACTCACCTGCCGAATTTAGCTGTCCAAAAATTTATTTTCACTTACCACCGAGGCCTTGAACCAGCCAGCACGCTTTCAACTATTTCAACGTCCGTTAAACTCGCAACAAATTTAATGTAAAAGTATACAGCAAATGCACCAAAAAGTTCTAGAAAACCTACCTCGTCCGCAACACCTGAGGCAATACCGACTGAATTCCACAAATTTTCGATTGAAACACCCGGTTCAACTTTCACCATTGTTGATTTTTTTTTACGGACCGTCACTCTCTTCTCCGCAGAATTTTAAAAAATTTTTAATACAATTCCATGGCGTTCACGAAATCCATTTAAGCCAGCCAACACTTGCTCGAAACTCGTCACGTTCAAGCAGGTTTGTCAAGTCCAACACATTTTTCCGAACGAGCGGACGAGAATTTGTTTTTTTCCTGCCAGAACCTACTGTTTCCACCGCTTTCATTTTTTTTTTATTGCGACGAAAACTGCCGGCGTTTCTTGCTTTCCTCGTTGGCCACGTCTACGGCATGGCTCACACGAGTACCCTGCGCCGACTGCGTTCGTTCTAATGAATTTTCGTAATTATGAATTTCGTTTTAACGAGATCTACAACGTGCTATTACTATGGGACCTGGAAATATTTTCGTTGTAACGAGATCGGGAATGGGAAAGAACATATAAAATCCCGCCACGTTTCGAAAACTGATTGCAACTCAGGCGAACCAGAAATACTTCTGGCAGGTTAAAAAAAATTGATCGAGTTTCGAACTATTAAATTATTATTAAAACCACTAATATTATTACAAATTAAAAGGATTGAAATCCGCAAGCTGCGCTCTTCGTCAATCGTGCAGACGACGAACATTCAGCGATGAAATTCGTTTTTGAGAAATTCCTCTTACCGTGTGTCGTGGAAAAAGCTTTGCTAGCTTGTAAAAATGCATACATTTTTTCTATTATAAAAAAAGAAAACTATTACACCTGAAGCTTTGAGCTCAGAAAACTCCTTGGAACTTGGAAATCATCCCTTTCATTTTCATCGGGAAACGTAATGTGCAGAAAACACAACACTCGTAGGATATCAGATGCAGAGATTTGAATGAATCGTCCATTTTTGGGACAATAAAGAAGAAAATTCCCAACGAGGTGGCAGGGAGCAATAGAAATCTTCACGACTGATCCCTGATAAACTCTGATTATGGGTAAAGAACAGGGCAACATCGCACAACCACCCTCATAAGTCTTTATTCATAGGTGTTCTGGAAAAAAAAAATTATCACAAAAAAGTCTACTTAGAAGATGGAAGGAATGCTCCACAGGAATCTCCAATTGCAAAGAAAAATTGCAGAGGAAAAACTCAGAGCACTGTATCACAACTTAAAAACCTAAGACAAGATTCCTTTGTAATGCACTATTGCACTTGGTTGCATAATTGCACAAAGGGCATGCATCGTCTATGTACTCGATGGCAAGAAAATGAAAAAGAGGCAGTAAAGCACATTTTCCCTCAGGGTGTGCTCGTGAAATTTTTGAGGTAGGTGGATGACAATTATGAATGGAAAACTACATGGGCTTTTAATATAATCTGGAAGAATAAAGGGAGGGCTCTGGGATGGGAATGGATGATTAGTGTCCCAAGGAACAGTCACGAGGACCATCGGCCTTCCACCTACCATCCCGACGCCCGATCGACACGGCAGTCGTGCGATTCCGCTGTTCCATGGCATCGCCATCGAGATTCACAGAGCGAGGGGAGAGGGTTTTACAGTTGCTCCATTTTCTCCTGTGCACAGATCCCTTCCTTCTGTAGTCGGCTCAGCATGGGTCTATAGACGTCGGCCGAGAACGGCAGCATCATCCCCTTGCCTTGGATTTCCCCTACGGCAAAGAAAACGGAAATCTTCTCATTTGATCGGCATTGCAACACCAGACATCGGCGAGGGGATGGACACCGCACCATTGAGCACCATCTTGGTCGCGATGGCCGTTGGATACCCGACCGTCTTGGCCATGGCAGAATAGCCTTTATTTCGGGCCTCTCCATACTCTACCAGGGTGACTCCCCTTTTCTCCACCTGGTGGTCCCCCCAACGTATCGTGATGTCATGTCTCAATATTACGATGTCTCGCTCGTTCTCCTCTGATCATCAAGAACAAAAAAGGGACCATTCAAAAAGATTGATTCAGATATACACTAGAGTATTCATGATAGAAAAAACATTAGCATGCACAAAATATTAATGTTTTCATGAAGATGAAGCTCTGAGAACATGTAACTGAAATGGTTTTCATAGAGAATCTGATGGAGAACATCCATTTTCGAACTTATACATTGGCATAAAAGCAAGTTGTGCATGTGAACAGTCAATTTGGAAAAAACCATTTTGTACCACGATTACTGCCATAAAGTAATACAACGAAAGTTCCTTCTGTTGAAATGCATGTACTTCAGCATCACTGACTCATTCCCTCTTGAATGTACCACTCTTTGGCCCAAAAGAAAAAAAAAAATTTGTATGAAAATATTTCTGATATTTATGTTTTCTATTGCTATACATTTCACTGGGACCAAATCATTAGGCCAAAGACATATGATAAGCATGAGTAAAATTTCTGTAAATGACAAAAACTATGAATAACTCTTCTTCCACTTCAAATTGAAACATATTTTTAAACATGGTCACCATGTTTCAACTAAATGGTGGGTCACAGCTCTTCCAATTAATATGCATCAGAACCCACCAATTTCCAATGCAGAATGAATCATCAATGGATTGCAAAAATTTAGGATAGTGCATTTTGATGTCAATGTCATATGACATAGCACTGAAATATGTTTAAATATTTTATCTTTTGAAATATATAAAATGTAAAATCGATATCCATATTTTGGAACGATCAGGTAAACACTTTTTTTTCATAGCATTTCCCATATATAATGCCAGTTACAAAATGTGGCCCTGCAACCCCTGTGCTCCACATGCAAATCTACACCTGATGAATACATCTCCCTTTCCACAATCTCATGGTTATTTGTGTCACTCCAATAAATGCTATTGTGATGGTTTTATTTGTCCTTTACAATTAAAAAAGGGTCTCATCATCAGGCTAGTAAAACCCTTGCAAACCTGCGAACGAGGTTCGCAGGAATGGAGACACATGGGCAGGCGGCCCACTAAGTCCACTTGCATATCTTTCCCGGAAAATTCCAATTTGTCACCTCAGGTTCGCGGGAAAATATATATACTGTATATTTCCTACAGTGCTCATCATACCAAATGATGGAATCAATGGTGTGTGGGTCAGTGTGGGAGTGTAGATGCACATCTTTCAAGAGATGCAGTTAAGGACAGTTTCAGTTCACAGGGGGCATTAAATTTGTGAAGATTGGTAAAACTGGAACAAGTACAGCAGCTGGGTTCTGACTAGGCAGTCAGAAATCTCACTTGCATTGGCACATCAGTAATGCTTCCTGCAATGTGGAATTTCTTCAAATCATGGCAGAATTGACAATCTGAATAAACCCTAAGTACCACTTTATCCTTTTCTGCTTCCTGTATCTGGTCGCAACCATTTTTTTTTTTTCAGGACATCCAAGACAATGGATGTATTAACCTTACAATGCATGATTTTTTTAGATGAACCAAAAAAAATTTTTGCCTATTTTTTTCATGTTGTTGATGAGAAAAATTATGAAAAAATTATCCTTTCATTTTGGTTTTTCCATGGAATTGTAATGAGTTTCAATGCAAACAGAGCATGCCATATCTGGCACACCATGCAGAGTAGGGTTAAGTTACACAGGAATGTGGTGCTTGCTTGGCACAGACAGCACACCCAATTACAGTTCCTCAGGCAGGAACACCCCTTCACAGTCCTATAGGAGGCCTTAGGTATTGCAATGATGGCAACAAAGAGAACAACTTTACAGCAGCAATGCAGTGTTGTAAGGTTAATATGCAGGCTACCAACATGGAATGGATCCCTCTCTGAGAAGAAAGTTTAGGTACTCAGTTGTGAAAAAGGCACTGCTTACAAAGGTGTAATTCATTTCTTGTGGAGCAAATCCTACAGTTCTGGTAAACATAAGAATAGTGCTTATTTTCAAGTGCAAACTTATGAATCACACCTTGCAAACTTGCACCAGTAATTAAAATGTCCTCCATCTATTTTAAATACTGACCCAAAGCAAGGAAGTTGGAAAGATAATGGCAGAGGCTGTCTAGAGGAGTGGAGAGTCGAAAAACAGGATCTTCAGAGAGGAGACCCAACTTCTCAACCACTCCCACGCAGCGTTCTGGCCCAACCCTGTCCAGGACCTTCGACCTTAGGTTTTCATAAAACAAATTGGAATCTGGGACCTCGAGAAGGTTGCAAATGAGTTCCCTCTGCAAGAGGAAAAAAGAACTGCAATGAAGGGAAAAAATCTAAAAAGCCACCAAAAAGGCTCCAGAATTGAAGAATTTACCCAAGTGATCTCAGGTCCTTTGGGATGAAGAGAGGGGTGAGGTTGGGTATCAATGAGACCCAGAGCCAATAGGCCACGAATAGCCTCTGCATACCCTTGGTAGCGAAGTGTACCCCTCAATACAGTCTTAGCCTCTGGAATTCCATAAAGTTCCTTGTAGATGGTACTGTCCCGGTTTGGGTAGCCCTCAAGGGCAAAGCCAGGTAGGAAGTCAACTTTCTTTGCATGACTCATCAATGCACCCCCACTTGGGATCTCAACCACCTAAAAAAAAAATACCATAAGTTTCACTGTTACGAATACCATAATAGAGCATTGAGAGGCAGTAAGGTGAACATCTTGACTGACCTTTCCATCTAATAGATACTTGGCAGGAGATAGGGTATTAAGGAGGACCCCACGTGGACTCCATGAGAACTTGTATCGCAGGGGGGAATCAGAATACTCAGGAGCAGGAATTCCACCACAATAGGATGTAAATGACTCCACTTTCCCACCATTGTTGTGGACTTCATCAATAATTTCCATGGCAAGTAGATGGTCAATTCCAGGGTCCAATCCCACCTCATTGAGTACTGTGATCCCTGCAGCTACTGCCCTATTGAGAGTAAAATAACACAATAATATCAATATGCTAGCATACTGGATAGTGTCACAACTATGACTTGTCTTCAAGATTCAATTATATATTTTCAATTAGTTGAATTTGAGTATTCAACTAACTGAAATTGGTGGACCACTGAAACCTTCAAAGAACAAGCAGGATCAGTCTCAAAGGGAAGTAAAAAACAGGCTCCTTCTCTGATGGCAAAATGGTGCTCTGCTCATGACACTCTGAGGAATGACCATTAGGGAAGACAAAGAGGCAAGAGGCCTATGTCATATCACCAAGAATGGAAAATCTAACTCGTCATGGAGGGCATGCATTTCTGGAGTACAGTAGGAGGCTGTGACAAGGTTCTTCTTGTACTCAATGCACTTCTTAGCCACTAATGGGTGAAGAGAGTAGGGCAAGAGGCTGATGACAATGTCAGCACTCTGCACCATCGAACTGAGGAGATCCTGCCGATCCTGCACATCAAGAAGAATTGGTTCCACGTTGGGAAAACGAGAGGCCAGTGTGTCTGCCTCATCCTTCAGGGCACTGGCTGTGGAGAAAAAGAGAAAGGCCATAAACTCAAGTATCAACACAGCAATATGGACAAGATTTCTCTATGCTCACACTCCTCCAGCCACATCAAGGGGTATGCTGATATGCTAAATATGGTATGGCTATTATTCAGACTTAGTTTTTCAACCCTAGTCTGGTTAAGTCAGTTTTTCAACCCTAGTCTGGTTAAGTCTCTCCAAAGCCAGCTGTGTCTAGAAAATGCCACCCACAGAATGTGGTGCCACATATAATATTTTTTGAGTGGTTCTTTTACAGAAGTACATTGCTGAAACAAAGAAGTATGACTAGCACTATACTCGGTGAAACAGTTCCTTTATTGATTGAAGTGTAACAACAAAGGCATTAGAATGGGACAGGTGTCCAGCAGTGCATAAACGCATGAGCATCTCCTCGTGAGATCTGGAAATCACCCATGTAAATCAACAGTCTTTCTCAAAATAGCTTGCTGAGGAGGTTAAAATATCCAAAAGTCTTCCTATGCTTTCATTCCAGTGTATAAAACTAATGTAAGCTTTAACTAACTTTAGCACAATTAAATGTGTGCAGATTTGTTGTTCTTCCAGTTTGAGTATGACTTGAAGCAGGCTGGTCAAATCAAGATGTGACTGAATATGAAAATGAAGATCCATATCCTGAATCCGATCAAGCCATTTTCTTCAACTAATCCTTGAGCAATACTGTATTAGGATATTATGCATATGATTTTGGAATTTGGATGAACCCATGGAATGTCACAAATAATATTTAAAAAAAAAACTAGAAAAAAAACTGAGGAACAAGTGGCAAATCAAAATGTTATGTCTCTGTGATTTGGATTGGATTATTCAATATGTTCATCTATTCCTTTGGATCATAAACCTCCAATGTTCCTATTGGATATGGTTGAAGGACAGGGATACTCTAATCAAAGATGCCTCAAATGTAAATTGGACTCATCACTCTAAATTAACTCTTGGATGGATTTCTTGCCATCAATAAATCAATATCATCATTTCTGATAGTGGCTACTTTCAGAGCAATGTGAAACTTGCATGGTGTGGGCACTGCACCATTACAGTGACTCCTCAATGAATGAAAAAACAAATTAACTTCAAGCTTTGTCAATATAGGATGGGCAATGAGTAACTTCATACTTCCAATTTCATGTTTACACTCTATACAAGTATGATGGATACCAACAAACATGCTCAAACTAGGATTTCAAGGCATTAACATATTCTAATTACTAATAATATGCTGTACAGTGGCTCTAGTACCTCAGCAGTACTTGAGCATAGGGAAGAATGGAGAAAACAGTGCTATGATGGCAATCTTGATAAGGAAGCAAAATATTTATATAATTTATGAATAATGTAAGAGTCAAAATAGATTGTCATGGCATTAGCACTGATTTTTGCTGGTAAGTGTCCCACATGATCACAGAACAATGGAACATTCCTTTGTACATCCCTGCATGTGAACATCATAGTTTGCATGGGGAGTAAATTGGACTTGAAAGTGCAAGGGCTCAATCCTATACTGGTGCCTCCTTTCATTTAAGGAGACCTGCATTTTGTCATCTTGAACAAAATGTCATCTCTTTCTGGTCCTTGACCATCAAAAATCTCATTTCTCAAAGAGATTTGGCAAATCTATCCATGGTGCTCATGAAATGATGATGGGAGGATTGACGGTTGTGTGTGGTTTGATCCATCTGCCACAAAGGCTAGTAGAGAACTGATAGCACTTGTTGGGGACACAGTGACACACCAAAGGCTTGGGTCTTGTGCGCATGCACATTGTAGTCCAGATTCTAAAGGGCTCTCAGAAACTCAAGTCTTCCCCCACGTTGTGAGCAAATTTTAAATCCAAAATTTGTGATAAAAATGGCAATTTTGGGGGAAATTAGCCACAAAATGAACTCAGGCTGTATCTTGTTCATATCTATCTGCTTGCCAATTTTTGCATTGGTCAGGCCAATATTTTCCTAGTTATCATTGGACAACCAGTGTGACACATGGACACACAGATGGATAGGACAGATGTTTTGTGGGCCTTCTTTCCTTTCAGGAAAAGAGGCCCACTAAAAAGCAATAATATCAGCTAGCCTACCATAAATATGCCCATCATTAATAGCCTTCTTAATTGAAAGTCTCATAATAACTAACATATCATCCTCCTCTACATAGAAAAGCCTACCTGCAATGCAGCGAATTGAAGAATCCCGTGTGAGATACTCCACAACTGGAGCACTCACATGTCCTGCTCCAAGCATCAACACCGTATGCTGCGTCTCACTCACCTTCATGGCTGACTTGTGCCGAGACCTAGTAAGAGAAACCTTACATGCATCATGTGACTCAAGCAAAAAAAATAGGTGGCCTTACATGTACCATCACCATTTGTGCTGTGGAAAGCTTAGCATACAAGCACACAATTTTTGAAGGGCTGAAACCCATTATTCATTAACAAGAATGTGATATAAGGCAGACCAACAGTTTTTCACACTTTCATTGAGACTGCTTTCTTTCTTAGGAGAGGATTTAATAGCCTGTCTACCACAAACATATAAATGGGAACAGCTTGAATTTTCTCTCATAAATTTCCCCACCATTCAAAATGCCTAAGAAATCAGTCCTTCCCATATCATTCCCTATAATACACACATTCCCTAAATGTGTACTTGCCAATTTCTTTAATAAGTTAATTCTGTATACAGTCACCCTCCCTACCCTGTCAGGACATTCCCAACTTACTCATGATCATGCAATACAAGGAAAACTGAGCCACACTTCAGCACTTGCCATGCAAAAATCTAAAATTCCATCTCACTGGTTCCAATCCAATAGAAAAAAAAAAACATGACAAGGGAATAATTGCCAAAAATTCATAAAAGCTGAGGAAAACCAAAGAAACCACTTATAAAGAGCATGACATAAATTTTCACATAATTAACTTGAAAACTGAGGAATGCAGATATATCAGAAAGCATACTTCATAATGTAGTCAGAGAGTTAATGAAGATGCACTCACCAATTAAGGGGTTAAAATAATTTTAAAAAAGGATTGATATTAAGTGACTTTTCAATTCTATACATCTTTTTCAGACTTTCTAAGAGGCTAACTGGCAGGAAGGTTGATGAGGTTCAAACTCCATTCTGCTTGCAAAGCCTTACAGCATTTAGAAAGGAAAGCACATTCAGCCTGATAGTGATTGCAGATACTATCATATTTTTTAGAGGGAAAAAAACTATGGGTCTCAATATCCAGTTTGTTCATTAAACAGTAACCAATGGACACTAACTGGTGAAGCAAAGTAAGAATAACTTCCAACCTGAGAGGGTATTTCTCAAGGAAAAGAGGAAACAATGGGAAAGAATGCAAGTACTTCCTTCTTCAATGTCATACCTCTTTTTTTCACTTTCCTGCCCAATGTCAGATTGTAATGCCTCCCCCACATTTTTTATTGCTTCCTTCAAAAGGTAAAAAAGTGGTGAACCAAGGCAGTTGCATTTTCTGAAATGGTTCCAATTTCCCATTAATTGATTAAACAGTAACTGATGTAAACCATCTGCTTACCCAACAGTTAACCAAATTTCTGGTAAAATTCCCAGTGAATGGGAAAATTATCATAAAATTATCATTGAGAGGAGCCTTTTGGAAAGGACCAAAGTCATCCATTTCTCTGATATCATAGTACAGGGTGGGCCACTTAAAAGTAGCCTGCCTCTGGTCCGAGCGTGGCGGAGGTGGTCGCCCCTTGCACACTGTTCTTACCGACTGTCTGTCTGTCGCAGTATTATAGGAGGCGGGCTACTTTTAAGTGGCCCACCCTGTAGTACCTCTGCCCCTTTGACTTGTGTGGAAAGATCTCCCTTCCCAAGTCCTTAAGGACCAATGTGAGAGCCTGACAACAAGAGGAAGCAACTTGACATTGCATAATAAATGGGCCATGTCAAATTGGAGAAATAAAAGGGGGAGAGAGAGGAAGGCAGTGATTCAAGAATCCCATTCCCTTCTCAATTCCTCCTATGGTGCAGGACCAGGCAGGCAAAAATGTTTCAGGAGAATGGGTGAAACTGATTGGAAGCATATCCCTATATTGATCAGGGGGACAATAAATGAAAAAAATAGGGGCTAGGGTAAAACCACCTATGTTCAGACAGTTAAGCTGGGAAGTTATGTAATTAGGTTGTAATACTTAAATGGTACAAGTCTGATGTTTCATTTTTTGCATCTAGAAGCATGATATAAGTAGGTTTAACCCTTTCATGGCTGAATTAAGAAAACATGTAACTAGGAAATTTTTTCACTGTGTTTTCTATTGAACAGGCCTAGCTAAAGACAGAGCTTGCAGAAAATTTCAAATATTTACTCATATATTCAAAAACGGAATTTTTTAATTACAAAAATCATTAACTGAAAATATTGAATAACAGGCCATTCACACATGGGGAGCCCCTAAAACTTGGTCTTTGTCCCAATTTTATCCATCCATTCTTGCAGCATGCTGGCATATTTTTCCCTTTTCCAAAAAAAAAAGGAAAAAAAAATTCTATTTTTTCGTCCAAAATTCCATTTCACAAAAAATCAAACCTATTGGGTCACAACTTTTCTTTTTGATCCAGCTTGCCTGAACTACAACTTATTTGAACAAATGATACATCACCAAAGAACCCTTTTCGAGAGCTATTAAGCAGTACCATATGAAACAGGTTTTGTTCAATGGTAACCGCAAGATCAGTCTCAAAAGATATGATCCTTATAATGATCATACACCATGAAAGGGTTAAGTGTTACAAAGATGCTGTCCTTCAAAGTCTTATAGTTACTGATAGTGCCTATTTCATGGCTATCCAAACTTAGGTGCAAAGTAATCAAGTTTGAATGTAATATAGTTTTGACACACCAAAAGTAACAAGGAAATCTGCTCGTAGCATGTGCATTCCAGGCAGCAGAACTCTATATTCTTCTAGTTTCCTGTGAAATAAGAACTGAGCAGAGTAATCAATGGGACCCATTGATTTCATTTTCCCTCTCTGCATGTGAAAAGGCAAAAGGAAATTTTTCCTTTTCACAAAAAGAAAAAAAAGACAGGACAGAAGGGAATAGCAGGGGAGTGAGATGGGCTGCATTTTTTTCTCTCTCTGGATTGAATAAAGTAATGCAAGATGTTATTATATCAAAGTGAAGTATAAACATGGGAAATTGTCACACTACCACAGGTCTACATCTTAAAAATTATGTTCTTTAACAGAGTGACTGCCATGAGGTGCATAGGTGGGCCTCACTGAATAGGAAAATCAATAGGTCAGCATTTCCGTGGCGGTCAACATGTTAAATGCTGTCCTTCCCAATTGATGCATTCCCTGTATCGAATCACTACATTGTTCATTACTGTCTTCAATGTGTCTTCACCAATAGCAGCAAAGGCTTCATAAATCATGATTTTAAGTTCATCTCTACTTCTGGGATGTGCTTTGAAAACTTTGCTTTTCAATAATCCCCAGAGAAAAAAATCTGGTGTGATTTTGGAATTTTTTAGGCAAAAGTTTGGGGAAAGGATAATTTATTGGTTCGGCATTGTTTTACAGCCATCCTGATCCCAGACCTGTTTGGACTGGATTTTTTTCCTCAAGGGAAATATTGAAAAGCAAAGTTTACAAGACACATCCAAGAAGTAGAGATGAACTTAAAATCAGGATTAACACATTGACTGCCCATGTCCAGTTAACTAGTCATCAATGGCAGCAGAACCAATAGCATATTGGTTGGGATGGGCAGTCAATGTGTTAATGAAGCCATCGCTGCAATTGGTGAAGACACACTGATTACAGTAATGAACAATGTATTGGTTCGATGCAGGGAATGCATAAATTGTGAAGGACAGTATTCAAAGAATGTAATTTTTAAGATGTAAACCTGTGATAGTTATTGTGACAATTTCCCATGTTTATACTTTACTTTTAACAACTTGCATTACTTTGTTCAGTCCTGATTTAAGACAAAAATAAATTTGTCAGTTATAAAAGGCCTACCCTATATAATAGTGGTTAACTGAAATGGAATTCAAGTGACTGGCTGGTTAACAGGTCACAAAATTATTAATTGAGATCCCTAGGAAAGCTTGGGCAATTTCATAACCTAGAGAATATTTCCCAGATTCTGTACACTAATCACAGAGAAGGTATGCTTTTTCTTGCATTGATTCAAAAAATAATAAAGTAAGTAATTATAAGTAACTTTAAAACTTATAATGAAGGTAATGAAATAAATATATATTAATACATTGAAAGTTTCTCTACTTTTTGCCAGGAACTACTAGAAATAACATGATGAATACAAATGAATTCAGTTTCAAATCCTGGTTAGTGCCAATGAAGTCTATCAAACAGGATATTAAAAAGCAAACTGACTGTTGGACATAACAGAAAAATTATCTTGTAGTTCTGAACTAACATATATCAACATGGAAATCAATTGGGTTTACTGCGAGCAAATTACAGTTCCTATTCCAGAACTGCTGATAAGTACGTCCAGATCTAAAGGAATTTTCAAGTTTTATTGAACACTATTATCAATGTTGTAAAAAACTAAGTCAAATGAAAATATATTTTCAGAAACAGTCTAAACAGAGAAGCTAACCAACTCATTTCAACTTCTGTAAAGGTTCTCCAAGGACAATGACTACCAACATGTGCAACTAGAAACTATTATAGCCATTTGGGTAATTAAGTAGCTGGTTACCTGGTCTTGAAACCCTATTATATTTGTGAAATAAGGGAGAAGTGTGAATAAGAAATTTTGCACTCCCCTGCCTCACTCTCTTTGCATTCAGACTTCTATGAAACGGTCCACATACCATGAAATGCACTCCCATAGGGAATCTAGCATCTTTGCTTCAACTCAATAATTCTGGTCTCTCTTGTTTGGCAGTAAATAGTGCTAGAGTGAAAACTAGCCCATCAAATCATCTTTCATACCCAATGCCAGGAATTTGAGTCAGTTTGTCAAGTATTTGGTTCCTTTACTGCATTCCAAAATATTGGTACAACTAAGAGGAGCAAAAAAGCAATCCAGGGATACACTACACACTAAAATGCACTAAAATACGACACACACTAAATTAATAGCAAAAACTACTGGCTGGAAGAATAAAAGACCAGTGAAGTCTTTCATACCACTGGATGATTCTTACCTCCTGTGGAGAAAAAAGAAAATCAAAGGCCAAAGTAGATCGAAATAATTGAATGTAACAATAAATACAGAGAAAGAAATCTAGGAAGTTTTACCTGTTGTATGCCCGGAGTTCAGATATGTACTCAAAGTCTGGGGTTAGCTTCCCATTGCTTGCAATCACAGCCTGAAACAAAGAGCATTACTTCACAAATCACCCACTCGTGATACAAAGACAGTTCTCAATGGGAAGCATGAAATCTCACTTTGGCCACAGCCGGTGAGTGCTGGCTTGGCTCAAAAGATGCAGTGGCATCTGACTTAAGGATATCTCCAATGTGAGGGAAGAGAAGACCTCCAAAGAAGTCCGTTGCTTCTCGAGGCAGTTGGGTAGGCATGTTGTCAATAGAACACACCAAGACACCGGGACCTTTGAAGCTACAAAGACACCCTGAACCATTAAAGAATGGATCTCCATCCATCTTCAAAAGCTGATTTTATCTTCCCCCATTAAAAATTACCATGTGGGATTGCATGCAAATTATTTTACTCAGCTAAGCAAGATTTATTGTCATGTACTTAGAAAATCTCATTTGATTTGGAAAATTGAGGGCAATGGGAGGGGGAGGAACATGAACATAACTCATGCATGAACTGCTGCAATACTGCATCATATTGTTATGATCCCAAGAGCCTTATTCTATCTTGTTGTAGAGCAGGAATTACCAACTGATAGCTCTCAAGCCCAGGCAACTCTCAGCATAAGGTGAGATGACAATAATATGAAAAATTTTATTTTTAAAGGTTAAAGTTGAGAACGGGGAAGAGGTAGTTTCTTCCTCCTCAGCATTGATGATAATCTGAACACAACTCACCCCCTTTCAAAACTTGCACTTCCTATACCTTGATGTAGTAAAAATGCCTCTCTTCAAAGCTAATTTGCATAAAAGGTTAGTCTGTCGAAGTTGCAAGATTGTGTAAGCTCAAAAAGTTGTTGCCTCAGATTACATGCCTGATTTAACTGTGAGCTTTGGCAACGATTAGTAGGTGTCACAAAACAGGACAAAATATGGAAACGCATGTGAGATCAAGGTAAATACCATGTCACTTTTTAAATTAAAATTTTATTGTTTTTTAACTGGCAGTTTGAGAGAAAGGCCACCATTTTCTCCTAAGATTTGATCGACTTTTGAAAATCTATGAATTGTGTTATTTCTTCAGGCAAATTGCTTTGAGCGTATTGCTACCGTTGGAAGAGCAATGCAAGCCATGGCGAATACAAACAGAATGAAACCGATTGACCACGTAATAGCCGTGTAGTGATCGGCCATAGATGGTCATTGCTATTTTGAAGTAATATCTGCAGAGTTCCAGCCAAGAAATGTCCTTAACAAGGCGGGCTCATTGATTTACCGTTGACGTGGACACACCCGCCAACCTCTTCCCCCCCCCCCCTCTTGGCCTCCCCCAACCTTTAAGGTTTCTCTAATCCAATTTGGGGGGGGGGGGACCGCTAAAAAAAAACTTCGTTGGAAGTAAAGTCACGGGCACCATTCACAGTCCTCGCGAAAACCTTAAGGACGTGAGGAAAATACGGGTACATCGCATTGTCTTCTGCAGACAGACACGGCCTCTGAATACTTGGAGTCCTCCAGAGTAATACCATCGACAGATATCAGTGCAAAACTGTCCCGCGATGAGGCTTTCAGACGATGCCTGAGTTGTGTTTTAAAGCGCTACAAGGTAACGAAGGTTCGCTCGCAGTATGAAGTAAACATGGGAAGAGAAATCACAGCAATCTCAATTTCGAGATGAACACTCACTCGACGATCACGCCCGCTAATAGAAAACCGTTAGTGAGAGTCTGATGGACAGAGAAAAAAATTAAGGGTTCCTCGATTCAACTTGCGAGAGGAAGAGAAAGACGTAAATGCCCTCGTGCACGTGCTCCACCAGCAGGCCCCGAGCAGGCCAGTCAATGCCACGGCAGAGGTAACAGTGGGACGGTCTCAGCAGTTCTAAGTCAGTCTCCGTCAGTTGCCAAGGGAGAATGACCCTGAATTCCACGAGCAGCTGCTTCCTTTATTTGTACACTGGGCGGAAATGAAAATCCCGACATCCCAACTAGGCGGCCCGCCCAGTTATTAAGCCATCCCAAAATTCCGAATATCCCCGACGGGAATCGTGTCATAAAGGAACTCGTGAGGGAAATTTCGGTACAGCTAAGAATTATATTTGAAAACAGCTTTTAGCGTGGAAAAGTGCCGAGGGACTGAAAGCTAGCGAACGTCATACCGATCTTTAAGGGCGAAAAGAATAATCCGGGTAATTATAGGCCGGTAAGTCTCACGACCATTCCAGGAAAGATGATGGAAAGCATCCAAAGGGATCACATTTTAGACGTCCTCGAAGGTAACGCGCTCATCAGGGACTCTCAGCACGGCTTCAGGAGGCGTCGCAATCGCCTCACCGATTTGCTCGAGTTTTACGATTGGGTGACGGAACGGAGAGATAAGGGGAATCCCGAGAATGTCATCTATTTAGATTTCGCGAAAGCCTTCGATACCACAAGAGATTGCGGGTTCGATTGGAGGCGCACGGTATCCAGGGTCGGACGAGTGACTGGATAAGTAGCTGGTCGACGGGAAGAGTGGTGGTAAATGGAAGTGTCGACGGTGGTCGAGGTCGCGAGCAGTGTTCCTTAGGGCTCTCTGTTCTAGGAACACTTCTTTTTCTGCTCTACGTTTACGACTTAAATCAGGGAATAGAGGCTAAATTCAGCAAATTTGTCAACGATGCCAGAATAGGTATCGTCGACCCCAGTACTAGTACTACCCCTGATCTACAGATTGGAAGGAATAAAAAATGGAATCCAGCAAGTATTTCACAATCCTATTAGCTGCTACTAGCTGCATGCTCTGAGTTTAAATTATCATTGCAGTCGTGAGAGGCAATCTTTTATTGGGGAAGAAATCATGGCAGACCTACTGATGTCTCACAGAAATAAGAAAAAGGCAAAGAGAAAAGGACCTCTAACAGGATCCATGGATTCAACAGAAAAACCTTGATAGTTGCATGATAGATCCTTTACTGTGAATTGCAAATGCTGTCAAGAACAGAAGCATGTTAAAGCGGTAAGACAATATAAGAGAAACATTTATAGACGAGATAAATGCCCATTGAAAATTCTGATCTTGGAAATTTTGCAGATGGGATTATCCTTGTCATGCAAGTAAAAAGACCTCTTAGAGGTTTAGCAGCTGGGATGTAGAAATGTATAATATTGATACCTGCAATTGTGCTTAGCCAATGCAAAAATTAGCCAAAGCCTTAGCAAACTGATCAACAGGGACCTTAAACACAAGAAAAATAAAAGCATTAGGATTTTGTGTATAACGTACATATCACTTGGTCTGAAGAGTTTTAAATGGTCAACCAAGAGGCAATGAGTTCAGAAAAATTTAGTGAGCAGTGAGTCCCATTTAGCTACAATGAACAGTGTTAGTGAATTAGCCTGATGAATAATTACCTACCTTTCAGAGTTTGTATGCTGATCTGCATCATAGAGGCAAAAGGGTGTGTCAATGGTGGTGCATGCATCCATGAATTCAATTGAACCACCAGGATCAGCTGATATGTCACAGATGGCAAGGAGTCGGTGAGGGAGTTGTGGAGAGCCAGGCGAGCTTGGGAGCCATGGTGTGTATGCTGGCCTCAAAAGGCTCTTAGCATCTGGAATTGACAAAAGACGTGGAGAGTTTGGCGCCCAGTAAATCCCATTCACTATCACTGAAGCATATGGGGCAATCTGGAATGACAACATTTCAGGAATGAGGATGAATAAGGTGAAAGTAACTACAGTACAAACTTAAACAAAAATCTCCAAGTCTGACCTCACCTTCTTGCTGAATGAAGAATAGTAGTTCTCTGGATGAGCTTCAAAGTCATCAGGATCGAATGGCCCCCCATCTTTACGCACATAATGGTCAGGGCGGCTCACTTCGCAGCCATATACCTTGTTTATTTCTGTAGTGATTTGTGAACATCAATTATCTTTATTTCCATGAGGCATCACAAGAGTTAAGCCAGAAAACTTACCACCATGTTCAGCCACTTTTTTCAGCATCTGAGGTGGAATGTATTCATAGGGTAGCTGTCGGAATATCTCCTGAGCACCTTGTGACACGTTTCCTGAGCCGGTGAATACAACAGTTAAAGCTCCAAGTGATTTGGGGAGATTCCCAAGGGAAATTTCGTACCCAGCATCTCGTACTGCTGCTTTGGCCATTTCAGTATTTCTGTAGTTGTGGGCAGGACCTATGTGCTAATGGGTGCAAAGAGAAAAGAATCTAATTCAGTGTATAAGAGAGACCCAGTGGACACATTCATCTGCCTGTCCAGCAAAATTTAGTCTCCATAGGAAATTCAATTACCATGAAGGGTGTATGGTGACCAAGGGCCAAGAGACGTAATCCCAGGCCATGGAGAATGTTGATCATTCCAGCCACTCCAGCATATTTGCCAAATGCAACCACACGCTCCCCCCTTTCATTTACCATTTTCTCATAGTCAACAAGGCGGATGTTCTGCAAAAAGACACCAATGTATGCTTAAAGCCATGATACAAGAGAAGGGCAGGATTGTGAAATACCCAACCTTTTCTAGTATGGCATCAAGGAGAGCCATGTTTTCAGCCTGAGCCTTGATAGTGTGTGAGAAGAAGCAGTATGTTCGATGTGGGATCAAGGCATCAATGGGGACTTGCTTCACTCCCACAATAACTGGAGCCTCTGAGATGTCTTCCTTGATGATGGCTCCAGAAGCTGCATAATCCTATGGAAATGATACAAACCATCTATACTTATATATCTTCCTTAGTGTCAACATGAAAATCCATGACACTGCAATGCATTTGCAGATTCTGTTAATTTATTGACCTGCATGGGGTATGCCCGCCGATTGGATGGTTGCACGAGGACTTTGGCTCCAGCCCGCACGAGTTTCCGTACTTGATGGGGGGAAAAGGGAGCTCGTCTCTCCCACACACTCTGGTCCTCTCGTCGGATACCCAACACTCTCCCTTCCAGTTCTCTCTGAATTTAGTACATCAGTGTGCAAAATAAATAAGAAATAAATATCCCTCTTACACAAATAGGAGGTTCTCCTTATTACCCTGCCATAGCGAGAATAAAAGACTCTCTGAATAATCTCTGGGTGTGCAGGCCATAGCTTCTTCCATCTGATTGAATTTCTCCAATGATTAAAGCCCATTCCACATCACATATACCTGAAAATAGAAAATAGGCACCAACATACTCAACAATGAAGTGGCTGCAATTATTTTAAATAAACCAAATCAACATATTTCCAACCAAAATATTCTCACACATTTAGCCACACCATGGAAAACATGATTGCATGAATCCATGAATTCAGGGAAATTTCAATATAACTATACCAAGGAGTTTATGGACCAATATTGAAGTGATTGGGATGAGAAGTGGGTCAGGGGAGCAGACACTGTCCACAATGAATGATCACCTGAGAACACTTCAAAAATATTTTATTTACAGAGGCCTTCAAGATGAAGAAATTTACCTTCCACCATCACATTGGGTATAGAAGGTGTTACTCAAGTAATCATTCGACCCTATTATACATTAACAGTGGAATGTAAGTACACGGAGAAGTTACTCCCCAATTTGCCATTGGAACTGTAATGATTTACCTTAGAATATTACTTATTCCATGTTCTTGAATATAACCTAGTGTCTTTAGCACATTTATGCTATACTTGGTTTATGACATTCTGGTCTTATCAGAACTTCAGGTGGAGGTATGCAAACCCAGCAAGGCCAAACAGATAGGCCATAGTCAAATATTCTAGGAACTCCTTTCCATCCATGCTGGGCTTATGGCCCAAATAATCGCCCATAATTATCAAGTTTCCAGAGCATCTTAGGGAACAAAGAATGGCAGTATTTCATCTCACTTCATTTTCCTATTCATATTACCAACTTCTGGCAGACTTTGGCATTCACTCACTTCTAAAAGAAACAAAACAAATGAGACTAATCATTTAAGTATAGAAGACAAGGAGGATATGATTGGCTCACGCTTATCTGGTGACAATGAATGGTATTGGCACTGGTTATTTTTCTGTCTCTTATTGGTGGCAAGTTTTTTTTTTTCTCATCCTGGACTCTCATTAAAGGCCACATGAGAATAAAGAGGCCTAAAAGTAAATGTTTTAAATAAACCAACCCTCACTGCATGTAGGCCTACATATGGTAAAAGGTGTAGTTTTCATGCACAAAGAGAGAGAATTTGCAGAAAACTCATTTCACAACAAAACTTTCAGCAGATGTAAACCTCTGTCACTAAGCCTGTACATGACTCATGCATCCTAGGCCCTCATTCAGCATGTCCTGAGGTGAGTTATGAGCAATTCAGCAAAATCTTCAAAAAAATTCTTACCGCACAAAAACCATACCTTCTACCATAGGCCTAACTTTTCAATAGACTAGTAGTAGACTGGGACAATTTCTCCTTTCAAGCAAATCCAGTACGCATCACAATCAGAACTGAGTGGTTCAAGGGCTTGTCTGGTTGCTAGCTTAATGGATGTAGACCAAACCTGGGTTTATATACTGTTGGCAAAACTTAACTTTTGTTCACTTATTGCCCCAAAGAGGTAACATACTTATAGGGGCTCATCTAATTGTATAAGGATCTATTTTTAAAAAAAAATGTATTGCCTCCAGTTTCTTTTCCTGAAAAAAATAAATGTTGAACAAATCTGAAACAATGGAAATTCAGTCCTAAGTTAGCCTGCTTAGGGGTGTGTGCCACCATAATTGGCTTCTAGAAGGCTACACTTGCAAATTTTCTCCATCCTGCAAATTGTCTATGCCTACAATTTTCCAACATCAGTCAATTATTGAATTTTTAGCTGTAGAGAGCTTTCAATTATTGCCTGCGGAGATCCATAAGTAAGCTCATAGTCACAGGAATTCCATGCATTGTTAAATACCAGTCAGCAATTGTCATGTCATTCACTGACCTTATAAACAAAGGTTAATGACATTCCAGACTACTGCAGGTCAGAAATGTCATTGTTACTAATATTAAACTGTCATATCCATCTCCTTACTGAACTCACATTAAGGCAATCATCATTGTACACAGTAAGCAATCTTAAGCAGATTTCAATAGGTGCTCTGAGTTCATAAAACTCAATATCTGAGCAAAGCTGGAAAATAGCACCAGCAGGCACAGACATATTAAAACTAATTGCAACAACTGTTCCTAAACAGATTTCAAATGGAGTGACCACATTTCTATGGATAACTTCACACTTTTAAATAAATATTTGTAATAAAAAAATTATAGGCAGATTTATCAATCCTCATAATTATTGGAGGCTAAAGATAAAGGTATATGATAGGGAGGTGGAGATGAAAGGAAAAAAAAAAATTTTCGAAAAACGCCAAAGTCACCAAATAAACAATGTCATGATAGGCCTAACGTTAGGTTCACAGGCCTAAATATGTTAGATTTCTGGCTTAGCCACAATAGTTCTACAATGAGACGTTCCTTGGTTATCCCATCTGGTCCTTATCTACACAGTAAATCAAGAAAATAACAATTGATGGAGACGGCTAACACCGAGTTCGTATGAAATAATTTCTTTTCGACGAGTTCGTAGATTACTGAACAAAGTGGACGCTTTACATCGTCATCTGCGTGTTGAACTCAATGCGAAGTTGTACCAGATGAATCCAAACAAGTACGAGCTGTATCGATCTCACTCTCACCGTTCCTGTTGCGGGCTGCGGGACCTCCCGCCGACATCCACACGGACTGCGATTGGGTAACGGAAATGACGTCACGACTCACGCCCGCCCCCAAGCAGAGGCGCGCTGTAGTTCGCTCCGCCCGGACATGTGCGGAGTGCTCGCGTTTCTCGCACGTGTTTTCGCTCGATTTCGCCGTTTGTGCGTGAGAGGCTGCTTGGACGGACGTCGGAACATCAAAGAAGTGTCGGACTCGTGAGAGGGTACGTCTCTTAAGTCAGACTCCGCATTAAAGGTCCCAGATGACCTTGGACTTTTTCAATCCTCTGGATTTGCAGGCAGTGTCCTTGTGACGCAGAAAGTCAATGAAGGCCTTTTCTTTTTTTCGGGGCCATCAATGAGAGCCTGGACGTCCTCTTGAATTCGCTTGACGTCAGAGACGACCGAAAAACCTAAAGCTAGTCGTCGAAATTTGACAGGACAGCGAATTTCGTTTATTTTCGGATTCAATGATTAAAAATTGAAAATTTCGTCGGTGAAACTTTCGCAGACTAAGTGGGTTTTACCCTGAAATTAGCTTTTTTGCATGAATTTACCTCGAAAGGGACGAATGGGCGAAAATGTATTGGGCAAATTTTGACGCAAAAAAAGTAGGCGCACTTTATATCTCTTAAGATCTCAAAATTAATTCATGAAAGGATTTATTGGGACAACTCAATTTCACCGGGGGGAAATGCCAGTCGATTCGAGAGTTCCGTGAAACTACAGAGCACCCGACGTGTCCCCACGTCCTTCACGTGCCCTCGCGTTCTTCACGTGCCTTCACGTCCCTCGACGAAACCGAAAGACGATAAGCATCAGAGGAATGAATTTCCATTCCGAGCGACCAGCTTTCCATAAATCTCTTCGCTTACTGAAAGAAAGCTGGTAGCACCAACGGGTGACCCTTTCGGGCGATGGGAACTCGGACTCGAAGACGCCCAAGAGCGCGCGAAACCAATGGAGCCCTTCAGCGGCCCTGCAGATCGGGAATAGAGGCCTGTACCGCTCCGCGATTTTCGGGCGTCGGTGCATCCGCGTGTGCCCCAGATGGGAAATGTCCGCGTTCCCGCTCAACTTTCGTAGTAATCTGTTTTTAATGCTGGAAGAATAGTTTGCGACCGACCGCGCCCCATCCTGACAGTACTGCACTCCTGCCAGCAAGTCCGAGAGGCGACGAGAACGAAGTTGACTCAAGTACTTGCAAAAAAGAAAAAGACGAAAATCTGCACTCGAGCACCAATCGACCTCCCAAATCCCGTGACACCTTCTGCAGGATTAGATTTTTCCCCCAATCCTTTTCGATTGTACTCCATCTCAATCTTTCGGAGCAACGAAAGAAAATTTCATTTGAAGGAACGTCGACGACACTCAGAAAAACGCACTTCAGTCCTGGCACGGCGGCACGTGGGCCACCGTCGACCCGTTGCTCAGACCGAAAATGGCACGCGTCAAAATAGTAATAATAGAGAAAGGGGGGAAGTAGAAGGAAGCTGGAATCGGGATTCATACGCAGAGTTTGTCGCTTCAGCGTGCAAATACTACCTCTAAATTAGGATTACATTCATCCGCACAAACTTTTTACTTTCGTCTTTCGTGATATTTATTTTTGGCTCTGCTCCCTCAACGGGAATCGAAACCTGATAATTTTTTCTCCCATAAATCCCCATCCCCTATCATATACCTTTATCTTTAGCCTCCAATAATTATGAGGATTGATAAATCTGCCTATAATTTTTTTATTACAAATATTTATTTAAAAGTGTG